GGGATGAGAATATATCTGGCAAAATGAAGTTCACCGGTCACCACAACGTTGCTAGGTTATTATGAAGAGGTGTCCAAGTCAAATAATCTTAATCTCCACCGGAATTCTCTTCTTTAACCGATGACCCTGGAAAGAAGTATCAAACAAAGTCGTAAATCCATAGGGAAAGGGAAGAAACATACAAGGACAATAATACAAAGCATGTGAAATTCCATCCCCTATTGACAACAAAATATTTCCCCTAGTAATTAGCAATAAATTTTGCATGATACTTCACCATCTCAAATGAACCGAATACTATTAGCAAATCAGGGCCAACCTTTTTAGGCAAGAATTTCCTCCATAGCTTTGCCTGAGCCACTTCATGTCCATGATAATTAGATCAGACCAATCAGAGATGGAACAAACCTGAAATCAAGAATTCCACACAAGACAACAAATAAAGTACAATGAAGGACAACTTTGGATACTTTACCTTGATAACGCATTTAGTCAGTTCGATAGAGTGGAAAGGGGAGCAATACCCAAGTACAGACCGGCCAGACCATTCCCTTCAAGATGGGCAAGAAGTCCAATTGGGGTCGTTAGTTTTCCCGAGGCCCATTTAATTAGCTTTATACCCTTTATATATAATGATTTCAAGTTTCCTCCATTCGACAATGGAAAAAGGCTGGCTTGATCTTTTTCCCACATGTCTTCTTCTATGAGAGCTATATACCCACAAGTGGCTGATACACAGGGAGGTGGCTGCTCTGGCACATGATACTATCAGCCAGAGAACCCTGCCGGTGCCCATTGTGGCCAATCGTAATCCTCATTTTCAAGGAGTTGTGCATGTGGATTGCAATTGTTCTGGCCTGTAACATTCTAAAAAGAGCTGCATTGCCACCATTGTGATGAACCATTTCTATGTTATTCTTAATGAATGGGTAGTGCCCCTGCCGGGTTACTCAAAAACATAAAATGTTTCAAGAGTTGTATGAATAATAAATTACTACAATTACACCATATATTTTTTTCTTATGTTGGGGAACTGATATCTCAATTAATTAAATCTAACAGACTTGTTTGCATGGTTTGACCACAGTATGCGCTCTTAAGGACAAAACATACATAACTTTATGTCTGCTTCCAAATGTCATAACTCCTGACTAGAAAGATGGACATATCTACACTATTAGATTCATACATCAATTGACTATCAGTACAACATCTAGCCAATGAAAGAGCAAACCATCTGAAAGCTAGACAAATGTTGCATTGGATGATTGACGTAGCTTATACAATTATAATAAAAATAAGGCAATAAAAGATGCCACAAGATTGGCGACAAACACAAGAATTGCTTCTAGGAAATGTAGGCTATGCACAAAAATGGCATGCACAGAAACTAAAATAACGTAAGGGCAGACAACAGTACATGTTTTAGTTCAGCGGATCATACCATGACTCAAATTCGTGACGGGATGAGAATAAATCAGGCAAAATGGAGTTCAATAGTGACCACAGCTCTGCTAGGTTATTCTGAAGAAAAAGGAGCTTATTCTCCATTGAAATATGCTTTAACTCTTTCAATAATTTACAATTCGTATTTTTCAACCGATGTCCCTAGGAAAAAAATAGCAAACTGACTTGTAAATACATAGGGAGGGGGAGAAACATACAAGGACAATAATACCGAGCATGTGAAATTCCATTACCTCATCGACAACAACATACTTCCACTCCTAATTAGCAAGATATCTGGCATCAAACATGGCCATCTCAAATGAAGTGATTACTATCGGAAAACCAGGGCCAATATTTTTGGGCATGAATTTCCTCGTTGCTCTGCCCGAGGCACTTTATCTCCATGATAAATCAGACCAATCAGAGATGGAGCAAACCTGAAATGAAGAACTCCACATATGGCAGCAAACTAAGAACAGATACAGTGAAAGACAATGATTGATACTTTACCTTGATAGCTCATTTAACAAGTTTGACAAAGTGGAAAGGGGAGCGATAACCATGTAAGGACCGTCCATACCATTTCCTATGAGATGGGCAAAAATCCAATTGTCTGAATTGTTTTCCCAAGGCCCATTTGATCAGCTAGTATTCCATTTAGGTCGCTTTGCCACAGCGATATTAACCACTTAATACCTTTTATCTGGTAAGATATCAACTTTCCTCAAGTCAATAATGGAACAAGATTGGCTTGCTCTTTTTCCCACCTTTCTTCTTCAGTGAGAGTACTATCATCAGCAGTTCGGTCTTCCCGCAATCTTGTAAGCATGGCTGCAACTGCTGTCTTAGCCTTCTTCCGAACAATATTTATATAGCGTAGGCAGAAGCAACAGAAGGTTAACATAAGGTCTGACCAGAGAACATGAATACTTTCTTTTAATTTTCCTATATATTCGCATCAGCAATGATAAATCAAGTTACCCCCCCCCCCCAGACCAATGATCCATCTAGAGAAAAATACTAACAAGACGTTCAGAATTATACGACGGGTGGATTCATCCCGCCTGGTCGGCCGATGAGGAAGACGTCGCCGCGCGCGCCGCGTTGCCGCGGGCCTTCTTGGCTATGGCTCTGTTCCGCCTGTCGGTAGTGACTGCTTCGCGCCGCTGAACTTCCACCCTCCACTCGGCGTTCGACAGGCCCGGTGGCTTCGATGGCGGCGCCCTCGGCTTCCTCTGCTTCGGCTGGGCCACGGCGCCAGCCGCGGTTGCCTCTGCGCGCGGCATGGCATACTTCTTCGGCGGCATGGCGTGCTTCTTCGCGGCGAGCGGGAGGGGGTTTGGCGGGAGAAAGGAAGAGAATGGCGGGAGGAAGGCGAGCGAGCGAGAGAGATGCGAGGGAAAAGCGTCAAGAAACGGCGGGACAAGGCCCTCGGGTCGCCTCCAGGGCGGGCCCATGAGCCTTTTTCGCTTGTGTCGGCTCCCCAAGCGCCCCCCAGGGCGCCGGGTTCGACCTGGGTCCGACAGCACCAGTTTTGGCCCGAGCCGGCGAAAAACGGGCTTCTGGGGGCGTGACTGGGGCCTTTTTTGGCGCCGGCGCGGCAAAATCGCCTGGGAGGGCCTATTGGGGGCGCGGCTGGAGATGCCCTTACGACCACTAACTTGATGGGCCGCATGTTTAGCAGTCCTAGTAGGGGAGTGATCGAACTCACGACCTCAAAGACCCGACAATGTGTTGCTAGCCACTGAACAAATGTTTCCCGCTAATCAATTGCCATTGCGAATATTTAAGAACATATCGCAGTGTTAGATTTGAAATAATTTTTGATTTTTTTCAAAAAGTGATAATTATGAATTGCCAAATATTCTTGGAAAACGTCAACAGTTTTAAAATTTACGAGTTGGTACTTGAAAATTCATAAGCATTTTTTAACAGGAAACTGTTTTTAAATTCACAAACATTTTTTGGAAACATGAACCTTTTAAAATAACATGGGGTTTTTGAATTAGTGGACACTATTTCAAAACAAGAAAATGCTTTGAACATCCAAAAGAATATTCGAAATTGTGTTTTTTAAAATGCAAACATTATTTTGAATTTCTGAACATTTCACTAAAACAGGAATATTTTTGGAATTTGGAACATTCCTTTAAATACATTTTTAAAAATCTTGAATAATTTTTTAAAACACAAAAGAAAAATAGAAAATGGCAACATTTTTAAAATTTCAAAAACTCTGAGCATTTTTTATAATAGGAAGAGATTTTTGGAAATCTGAACATTATCAAGAATTTGAACAAAAATTAAAATTCATGACATTATTTTAGAATTTAGATTTGAGAATAAAAGAAAAAAATAAAATAAGCTAAGAAGAAAAAAGAAACAGGAAAGAAAAGGATAAAAGAACAGAAAAAAAATATTAAAATGGGTCAGCCTAGTCTTGGGCGCCTTGTGCGAAGCTCCATCTTTTATCCGCTCATGCGGGAAATAGGATTTTGGCTGCTGCATGGGCAGGAAAGTAAGTGGGCTGGCTTCACTAGACCGTAGGGCGTGCAGCCCTCATACGAAATTCTCAAAAAACCGTTTTACCTTTTCTAGCAGACTGGCACACAAATATTTAGTACCACCTCAGACAGAAGAATTTTAATTTTTCGGCGATGAATGGATGAGAAAAATGGATAAATGCACTACACTTTATTAGTAGGTATACCTTTACTAGTAGGTATAGATTTATATGCATTGCAGCCCGTAGCAATGCACAGGCATTCTACAGGTAGGAAGAGGCGTCAAATTTGAAAGGTACTCCCTTTATAAAGAACTATAAGATCGTTTAGACCATTACTATAGTAATCTAAACAATCTTATATTTCTTAATATAAGATCGTTTAGATCATAATATGGTGATCTAAGCCATCTTATATTTCTTTATAGAGAGAGTAGTGTACGTGGTGTTCAATCAGTACACGAAATTGAGATTCAATCTGGGTCCGGGTGCGTTTATCAGCCGGGTGAGATGCACAACTATGGGTTTGTTCGTGCCGGCCGGCCAAAACATATCACTGGCTTGTTTTCGTCCGCCAGTGCTTTATGGTCAGTGGTGACAACATATTTACTGGCCATTTCACTGGTTAGCGACCACAACATCATCATTAACAACTACTACGACCGGTCAGTGTTGACTTATAATCTTTGGCAAATTGTGATTGCATCAGCAATAGCAATAGTAGTAGGATCTGCAACATTATAAAATAAATAAATAACTGCACCATATTTTATCAAGAAATATTTATACAATTATGGACAACGCCACTCGTCACTCTGAGCCACGCAACACACACTAACAAATCATCAGATTCAATTCATAATAACAATATTTCACAATATCATGAGCCACCCAATAGGCACCACTCTTCATTTTCACCCTCTCAAACTTTTGGGACTACAACATTAGATGATGTTGTTGGTTGTGCACGGGGATTGGTGGTTCCCATATGACATGCATATGTATTTCCATTGCAAGAGTTACATTACACACAAGTTGAAGAACAAAGCTAGATTGACACTCCTCGACGCTTTCTCCCTGACAAGGCACCACCTTCGTGTGTATTCTGAGCATGACTAGTCACAAAATGAGCAAACGAATTATGTGGGGGTATCCTTGATTCCCATGAAACTAGAACAAAGTCTTGCTTTGGTCTAGCACTAGGATCTGCTATAAGTTCCCCAAATGTCAGACATGGTAATTCCTTCTTGGTTGAACCATTAATTGTATGGCGTGTCATGCTAAGTGGATGCAAAGAAAAATCCGTTATGTCCACTGGATGTCCTTCTCCTATAAGCATGCTTGGGTGTCCACCATACATGGAGAGATTTCGTTTAACCATTCTTTTCCTCTTGTCCAATACACAGTGCCAATATTGAACACTGAGGTTCCTTCTCAAGACATCTACGAACGTATTTTTTGCCACAAGTGCACCTGGCATACCGTGCAACACCTTGGCAAATTCATCTGCTACCTGTACTGATAGTGGATGTTGTGCAGGGTCAACGCTTCCGAATGCTAGTGTCTTAAAAAGGTACCTCAACTCATCATAAGATAGAACACTTAGGAAAATCGGTTTCACCGATCCAAATCTGGCTAAACTTTGGAGTCTACTTATGATGATGATCTTGCATCTTCTGTCCATTCCTATGAAAAATGAGTGAAATTTTTTCCAGTCATCATCACCTATATCAAAAGCAAACTCAATAACAACCAACATTCTCATCCCTTCCATGGTACTTCCATGGTCAAGTATTTTCAAAAGTCCATCTCCTTTCAAGTGCAAAACAGAGGAGAAGCACGAGCGGACCCTTTCGTCGCCACATGCATGAGCAGCCAAAGTTTTCTTCCCAATTGCAGCACCACCTATGACTGGAAGAACGGTTGGTGCAGGATAACAAGGATGGTCATTGTGCTGCAATAAGAATCTCAAGATCTTCTATTTTTCAGTGTGTCGGCTGAACATGAAGTTGTCAGTGTAAAGGTAAACATCATAGGGCCTACGAGACATGTGCTCGCATCCGCTTAGAAGCACAACAAATTCTGCCATGTTATCAACAGCAATTCCTAAGATTTCCAAGGCACCACGTGACTCGATGTGTGTGACCTTATCAGTTGTTGACCTAGAATGCTTGGCTAAACAGAAGCGGTTGCTAGAGGGGTCATTACTGCTAACCTCATCAAAGCCAACACTTTTTTGCACGGCTTGGTACCTCAAGATGTCCAACATGCGGTGTCCTCCATACATGGCCTCTGAGAGCATCTTGAACTGCATCATCATCCCGGTGTTGGGTGATGTACCGCGCATCCGCCTCCTCGACCACGGTGGCTACTCTCATCAGGAGGTGCTGCAATGTCTCCGCCACATTTTCCTCCTCTAATTGTGCATGACACAAGGAGGACTGATACTTGTTAATGAGGAAGGAGATGAAACGGCTCACGAGTTCACCTGCAACTGCAGATATGGCAGCCCCATTGCAAGCAAGAAGGCAGCGGATGATTGAAGCTGCTGGTGGGTCTCTATAGAGTCTAGACAAATTGGCTAGCCTCTTCCAAGTCTTAGAGAAATTCTTTGCAAAATAGAAAAAGTCTTCAAACCATTAACTGCCATGAGTTCAAGGGTGGTGAGACACGGCTGCTAACATGTATCCTTATAAACTGCTTGTATAATTGTATTTGTCCTTATGTACCTGTACTTGTACTCTATACTGGCCTAGTGGCCCTATATTTGGAATACACAAGTTCCACTCCTGGCAATCTAAAACCTGTGCTTGTACTGCTTGAGAATGACAAGTCAACTGTCCAAGGGACATAAAAACATTGATTTTTATTTTCAGTATTCAGAGTAGGTAGGACCAAATTTATATCGTTCCATGGCGCCATGTTCCATGTATTATAGTTTAATTATCTTTGTATTTGTCTTTTTTTTAGTTGTATACCGTAGTGCAATGCCCCACCGAAATATTTATTAAATATTAAAGTTGGTTAGTCCAGGAGAGTTGCACGGAGGGCGAAAGAGAGAAAAACTAGCTGTCGAAGAAAACTGTACATATTATACAGTAGGGCATTTGTCTTTCGTTGATCTCGTTTTACATTTTACACTCTACTCTAGCAAAGGTTGACACTGGATGAAGTTGGAGCTTTTCCAGATGAATTACACCCGAGAGAGCATGCCAATCATTAGCAAGGAAACGGTACACCCCCGGGTTTTATCTTAATCAGTGATGACGGGAATCACAACTCCATAATTAAGCTAGTGCTTGAAGTTATCTAATATCCAGAACACACCCTCCCCTCAAAAATGAAAATAAGAAAATCCAGAAAACCCTATCTTACTGAGTAATCTTTGTGGAGACATGTGACCAGTTCGCTGGTACATTCACTCCTTTGGGCATTTACCATTACAACTGAATCCAGTGGTCCCCTGCTGCAGAGATCGCCGCCGAATCTGAGTATTATCGAGTTATCTCCGATGACTACCACTGTCAGCAGAGGCCGGCGAGGCACCAGGAGGCAGGAGCAATTACCGACACATGAGGCAGTATGAACTTATATCCAAATTCTATAACAGGTTTGCTCAAAGCAGAAAGATCTATAACTTCATTCCACTACGAATGCTCCATGTCACACAATCTAGTCCAAAGGTGGCGAGCTCGCCCTCGGCGCAGGCCTGAGTGGCGCCAACCATAGCTCATCGGTGTGGGTGATATCGACATCATCGCTCTCATGGTGGAGGAGTTCGGATCCCCTCTGTGCATGTGTCGCATGAGTGGGCGGGAAATCAGAGTAGTAGTAGTAGTAGTAGTAGTACTAGTAGTAGCAGCAGCAGCAGTAGTAGTAGTAGTAAGCCAATAACTGTTGGGCTCCACATGTTGAAAAATTGTAGACGCTGCAGTTTGGGAAACCTAAGTTTGCACGGAGGCTCCACAACCTCCAATTTTATTTTATTTTTAAACAGTATTCTAAAACAGGCTTTAAGAATGTAGATGGAGAGAATCTGTCAGAATAGATTTTTTAGGGCGTTAGATGTAATTCTCTCTTAAGCTGCTGCCAGTCGCTACACGGTAGTATCGGACCTCGAGGTCATGGTAAACTATCCCATCCAGCATCCATCACCAATACAGTCCATGGTCCAAGGCCCAATATGAAAACTAAAAATAAAAGGAACTTGATCCCCGTAGTCTCCGATAGCTATAATAAATACCGGCAACTAATTAAGGGGTACCCCTTACGGGAGCCCCGCAAGGATCACTTTGGTGGGCAAAGAGTGTGCTAGTTGAAGCGCTCTCAGCCGCCACCACGTGTCGCATCTTGGGTGCTCCCTTGGGATTTTTTTCTGTATGTGTTTTCGGTTTTTAAATGGTTTTCGGCCGGTTTTTCCTAGGTTTTGGAGAGAGGAAATTCAAAAAAAAAGATTTATTTTTTTACTTTCACGGGAGGCACAAATTTTCTTCTCGTGAAGTCATAGATTTCCTTGCGTGAGATGCACGGAAAAGGAAAAAAAATACTGATTTCTTTTGCTTTGAAGCAGAGGCACAATTTGTTTCCAAGAGAGCCACAGTTGTGCCTTGAGAAAAGAAAAAGAAAACGTATTTTTTTTCTTCCATGGGAGGAGGCATATATCTGCTTCTCATGGAGGCACAAATTTGATTCTGCGAGTTGTGCCTCTCGGAAGGAACACCCCTCTCCTCCTTTTTTTGGATTTCATGGGAGGCACAATTTTACTTTTATTTTTTGCAGGTGAGGCACAAATTTACTTCTCATGAAGGCACAAATATGCTTCCGTGGAATGAAAAAATGTTTTTTTTCTTTTTTGCTTTCTTGGGAGGCACATATCTACGTCTCGTGGAGGAACAAAGTGGTTTCCGCAAGAGCCACAGAAGGAAAAAATAAGTGGAAAAAAGCATGAACATTTTTTTGAAAAATGTGATCATTTCTTGAAATTGTGAACAATTTTCATATTCTGAATATTTTCTAAAATGCTAAAAATCTATAATATTCTTAACAAATTTGGAAACCCCTGAATTTTTTCTGAATTTTTTTAAAAAGGAAATGATAAACAGGAAAGATTATCAATTCCATAAAAATGGAAAACAATATTTTTTTGAAATTTCAGATTTTTCTATGAATTTCTTCACAAATTTGAAAAAAGGCAATCATTTCTAAAAATTACGGACTTTAATATGCGAACATTTTCTGAAAATCCTGAATTTTATTGAAAAAACACAACCATTTCTAAAAAAATCCGGACTCTAAAAAATTCTAGAAGGTTCCGAAAACTGGGATTCTGCACCAAGCTCATGCTGCTAAAAATGGGTCGGGCCATGTCGTTCACTCGCACTCTGTGGTTTTGAAAGATTTCTGTGGATTGGTTTAGAATAGTTTTAGAAGCTTCCTCACCATTGCTTTCTTTTCTTTTTTGTGTGTTTCCTATATCAGTTTTCGTTGTTTTTCTGTTTTCATCTGTTGGTTTCCCTTTTTTATTTTTTCTCTTCATTTTTTGAAATACATGTCAACTTTTTTTCAATAGATATTGAACATTTCTCACATACACACTGCATATTTTTTTAGATACAAGGTAGACATTTTTCGAATATATGTTTAATTTTTTACTCGAGTACATGTTGAACATTTGTCAATTGCATACTAAGCATTTTTTTTATATAACGACTGAACATTTTTAGATACACGTTGAACATTTTTATAAACACATGCTAAACATTTTGTTAAATGCAAATGGAACATTTTTTTAGGAAAAAAATCCACGGTGAACATCCATGTATCAAAGCGAATACATGCTACATCTGAGGTTTCCTGTAGCATAGGAGAAAAATCAATTAGTTTAAAAGGACACGTATGAACCAAGTTCAAGGAAAATTATGGCATATGACCTTGTTCTACATCATTGGAGATTTCCGGTGTTTATGAAGACCTTCCAAGTTCAAATTTATAGAGATATATTATCTGATATTAATGTTTCGAGCAACCCAATCATGCACGGCCAAATTATATCTATAAATATGACCTTGACGGATTGTGCTGTCTCTATGCTTCATAACTAGGAAACAGCCCATGGTGTCTCAACATCTATCTCTCCTACACCACCTATTAGCCAAATCATTGCAAGACAAAAGGGCTTTTGCTTGAGAATATGAGACATTGGGAATTGAGTGCTTAGTATTATGAGAAGATGATGCACTGCTACTTGGGCACAGAGGACGTGTCCTCATAGTCCATGTTTGTTTGCCTGAGGATGACGGAGTTATACAGCAAGCTCGACCAGAACAACCTCTTGCCTATCCGCACGAGCAAAACACAGTTCTTCAACAAGCGTGACCAGAACAGCGCTCCTTCCTTGCACGTAACCAAAACTCAGTTCTATAACCATCTCAACTTGGAGCTCCTGCGCGAACAAGTAACAACGTTGCAGACACGTCCGCCTATATTCATCGTGTTGTTAGTTTTGTCTCGGTGCCGAATTATTTTCTGCTAACCAAGGGTGAAAATTTTGCGCCTATGCCCAGTAGAAGAGCATGAGTGACTAAGTAAAGATGGTGTGCGCTCTTTCTCGTTTGCAAACACCTTGTTGCCTCTCCCCTTGCCAGATAATTTGCTTCGATGCATATTCACAAGAACGTGTCACTAGTGGAAAAAGGGCCTAATGTTCAGCCATTTAGTCCCGGTTTGTAAATTAACCGGCATTAATGTGAGGTACTAAAGGGGTGGTGGTAGGCT